TCTCAAGCATGGTATTTTTAGGATTTATTTCTTCAATTGACAGAGCACAAACAATTGACCCCTGCATAATCTACAATGTAGCTTTCTTCATATGTAGATACACAATTCTAAAAAGAAGCAATTCCAGCAACATTTTAATCAGTTAAGTTAAGGAATATAACAATAAACAACTGAGCTTAGAAAGGGATTTTTTTTGAGTGTATATGTTTTAAGTTCATCTTATTTTGAAGTATCCCAAATCTGGATATGGGAAAGTTGATACATTTAACATTTAAAATGGTGATTTGGTTATATTTAGGATGCTAGTAATATGTTTGGATGAGGTCTTTGGTTACAATTATAAAAGTGTTCCATAATGTCATAACAATTACAAAAATATGATCTACAAAGGAAAAGGTAGCAGTTTATCCTCTTATTCATCTGCTGCATAACCATACATTTACTCTACGCTGGAATGGATTTTATAGAAAGAAATTGCACATTTTATAGAATTAATGGTTGTTACATATAGCTGTTAGTTTATGCAATTATATAGATTCTTTTTGCCCTTTTTGTGAGTTTTCTAATTCCAATCATTTGTTCCTCTTTTTTTCTCATTTAGATACTTGCTTTGCAAGCTGAACTAAATTTCCACAGAAATTTATATAATCTTCAGGTTAAATATATTGAAGCTGTATTTGATGGGATAAAGCAAGCATACCACACATTTCAAGATAATGTTGCTATGGTTCTTTGTTCCCCACTGCAAGGTAAATGGATATAGGTCTTTGAATAACAGTATCAATCACATCAGTTTTAAGTACTAATGTATACTAAGGATGCATTTAAACATCAATCACCTGAGAACAATTAAAATTTAATAACATATCCATTCTATATGATATTTTTGAGAAAAATCTCTAGGAAATTATCACTTTCCATCTCTTCATGCAGATGTTTTTTCTTCTTATACAAAACTTAAAACTGGAGCCTCAGAGGATGCTTTGAGGGACTTTCTCACTGCTTTTAAAAACAATGCTGAACAAATCCAATATGCTATTGAAACTTTGACTCCATCAGCAAGCCAGCAGCGGGAAGGTGAGAACTTGTAAATGTGTGATGGCATTTTGTCTTGGTTTCTAGTACTGAAAAAGGAGACTATAAACATCCTACATCACTGTTCTTGATCAAATATCAAACTTTTACACTGATTTACACTTATGTCCACAGCAGGATTTTCCACATGGGGAAATGGGTTTCACAAAACTAAAGGGGTGGGGGGAATCCCATCCCTTCATAATGGAATAAAGGGGAAAAAGCCACCCCTCCACAATGGACTAGGAAATATCCATCTTCTCAAGCTCTCAATACTTTATTAATGGGGGAAAATACCATGAAGGAAACAAAATTCACCCAAGATCCTTGCATCAGACTTAGTGTCACAATTAAATGCAAGGATAGTCAAGAAATGCAATGTAACATTTAACATTAGTATATGTTTAGTAAGGTTGACTATATAAGGTATGCCTTATGTAAATTTGACCCCAACCTAATAGTTATTTGGTACATGGAAACATGGCCAATGTTTTCTAATATGTGGTTCATAAGCATGCTTTCATTTTGGAGAATAAATCATATGCATGTGTTAAATGGAATTTATTTCTTCATATAAATAGTATAATGGAAATAGTAAGCATGTCTATGATTAAAGATTAAGTCTATAATATCAGCAAGATAAGCTGTCTCTGAACAAATAACATTCAACCATATCCTCTTGTTTAGAAAAGGAATTAGTCACAACTGCCAAAGTGAAAGAGTGGTTCAGTTTGAGACTTAGACACATGTAACGCTAAGCATTGTCTGACTCTAAACCATATTTTGTTGAATCATGATGATACCACCTGCTTGGCCCAAGTATCCTTCTGACTTGACATGATATAATCAAGATAATGCAGCAGAGAAGTTGAAACCAAGAACTAACATAGTTAACTCTTTCATATAAAAGTCATTTAAGTTTAGGATTTTTAACTTTTGCAGGTAAAATATTTTTTTAAAGGCATAAACCTAATAACCATGCAGGAATTGAGCCAAGAAATTGGGCCTATGGTAAGCTCCCAAATATTGTATGTAAAATCGGTTACAAATTGTCCTCAACTTACAACCATTTGTTTGAAGTTACAGTGGCAGTGGAAAAAGTGACTCATGACCGTTTTTCACACTTACACCCATTGCAGCATTCCCACGATCATGTGATCAGAATTCAGATGCTTGACAAATCATGTATTCATGACGGTTGCAGTGTCCTGAGGTCATGTGATTAACTTTTGTGACCATCTGACAGGCTAAGTCATTAACATTACAACCCTGTTACTAATTTACAACTGCAGTGATTCACTTAAACAATGGCAGCAAGAAAATTTGTAAAATGGGGCAAAACTCACTTAACTGTCTTGGTTAGCAACAGAAATTTCAGGCTCAATTGTGATCATAAGTCAAGGACTATCTGTATAAGGCATCTTCAGTATACTAACCCATTGATTGCTCTAATAACATCTGTAAGCAATTGCAGAATATGTTTCTGGTTTTATTTGATAATGAATGATAACGATGATACATTTATTTGCTTTAACAATATAAGAGAATTACATGGCATTGTAGTATCTGGTTTTTCTACACTGAGTGTAAACCAATAAACTGGAAAAATTAGTTATTACTAAAGCTGTTTAAAACTATGTATGTATTCAAGCAGCTTGAGAGCAATTGCTGATTTAAACCAGGATGCTAAAATGTAACCCTCTGCCTTTTTTAAAGGTGATGAAGCCCTGTCAAAATTTGGAAAAGAGTTCTTTCTATCTCTAGAACAGTCACTCAAAGCCTGTGGAGAACAACGGGATAAAGCAGCCAATGAAATGGGAATCTTACAGATGGAACTGGATCAGGCTTTAGAAAAACTTCAGAATTTAAGGGAACAAAAGATGAAAAAATCAGGGACCATTCAGCATTTCCCTAATTATGAAGAAATTTCAACAAGTTGCTTGAATGTAGTTTCCCAAAAGTCTGAACCTCATTTCCCATCTAATTTTCCTCCAACCAGACTTAACCCTTTGTTAAAACAAGCTTCTGTTGCAGAGAAACAATCTACCAATTTGCTCCCCAAGCAAAGACTGGGAAATTGTGATGATACAGTTATCCAACAGAAGGGAAAGACCCTTCATAGGAGCAGGAGTATGAAGGCTACTGAAAAGGCAGCATGGCAAGATTAGT